ACAAAAAAGAAAAACCCTTTCCAAAAAAAAAAAAAAACCTTATTGAATGGTTACGCATTCCATAAACTGAAGTCAGGACACTACTACTCAAAATCAGACTCTTGAACATACTCACTCTGTAATTTTAGGCAATTTATTGACCTTTCCTAAGCCTCAACTTTCTCATCTGTAAAATGAAAAACATGTAACGCAGAGCTCACCTCATAGCACTGAGAATTAAATGAAGATAATTAAATGAAATATGTGAGAATTAAGTGAAATACCCAAAGCAAAAAGCCTAGGATAAGGTTTTGTAGGTAGTGGACATTCAGGAACTATTAGCTGTTGCCATTTTAGTTGTACTAGTCTCTTTATTTGATTGTTTATGTGATGACAAAGGACTGGTTCACCATCTCCAAAGCCCATTAGATGAATTTATTGTGTGACAAAATGACACCAAATCAGCATCTTATGGTGACTTTTAGGCAAAAGCAATCCTTGGGTTGCAGTCCAAAGTTTAGGCTGAGTAGAAAGTGAAGGGCACATTACCAATGTGGCTGGTTTAGTTGGAAGCTATAAATGAGAAGAACTGAGGCCTCAAAGCAAAATCTGTGACATTAGTGAGTTCGCTAAAGTTTTGTGCCAAACTCATTGCCCCCAGTGGAGTCTGAATTTGCAGAATGACTGGGATTCCCACCATGCAAATGTGGCTGAGTTTCAAGGAAAGAGTTCTTTGAGCACACAAGAGACCAAGGGTTCTCAGTTCTCCTGGGAAAACTTGTACTCAGATGAATGGAAAAGTATAGAATAATAGTTGAAGGAGGGAAAGGGAGTTAGCAGTGCAAGAGTGGCTCAAAGGGAGGTGCTGTGTTGTGTTTCTAATCTACCCAAGAAGGCATTTTTATCCTCTAGTTATAGCTAAAGAAAAATGTCAAAGACATCAAGTGACTTCTACATTTCTATACATCAGGTCGTATAACTGGTAAATGGCTGAGCCAGGCAAGAATTCCCCTGTTCCCCCCAGCATCCAGAGCATAAGCGCTCATGAAGGGAGCTGGGCTGCTAGAACGACTGGGGTCTGAGAAGATCACAGTACACTACACACAGAAGCACAATGGGGGACCTGAAAAGAAGGCTGGTCTCCAAGAAGAGGAGATTATTGTGTACAAGAAGCCTGTAGTTAAATTCATAGATCCCTAAGAGAGGGCCCAAGGGCTCAGGTAAGGCATTTCCCATTAAACACCACACAGGGACCTGGCAGGAGGCAGCAAAGGAGCTGGGTGAGATGCTGAGCTCTGGATTGGCATGGCTGTGGGAGGGACTGTAAGGAAGAACTATCAAGAAGTCAAGAGTGGCCTAAGGACTCTAGCTACATGAACTCTCATTGACCCTTGAGAGTCAGGGGTCATGCAGCATCATTTTAAGTAGAGCTAAAATGAAGGGAGAAATATAAAACCATATTTATACTTGACCTATTCTCTGTAAAGTCAGAACACTTAAATTTTCTCCAGGGTCAGTAAAACAACATATAGTTGAGCCGGCTCTGGGGTGTATGCCTCCTGAGATAAAAAGTGCCCAAACGTAAG